ATATATATATATATATATATTCCGTTCCGTCCGGTAACGAGCAGTCCGTGTACCGGTCAGTGTACCGGTCAGCTGACGGACCAGTATGTACCGCCTGTATCGGGCGGTATTATTCGAAATTGCATACCTTGGTATTGCATCTAGTAATCATTTTTGAATTCCAATTTGGCTAACGCAATTTCATGATGCTGTATAACCCCTTCATGGGACAAATTATCGAGGTTGAGCATTAGATGTAATAAAGAGTTATTGGAACCATCACTGCTGGTTTAGCTCATCAAGTTGGTTTGACTATGGAACACCACTTTGAAAAAGTTTATTGTAAGATGCTGGAAGTAGTATGCGAGGGTGAGCCTTGGCACCACAATAAAGTTTCTTCGTTGCGTTCTAGGTAATGATCTTGCAGGTATAAGTTTGTGTACATCAAGCATTCGTAAACCCTGTTTTGGTGAAATCCTCATGTATTAGGCCACTCCTTTTTTTTGGCAATCTGGCTGGTCATCAATCTGTCACGAATAGGAAGTTGTCAGGCTTGAGGAGCATTGAGGCCTCTTGGAGCTTGCTTGACCCTTAATGTATATTTTAACGAAGGCACATTTATTGAGAGCTGGCAATGTATATTTTAATGAAGGCATATTTATTGAGAGTCTTTACGAACAAAACCTTTCAAATACAGTGAAAAAAATTTAGTCGTTGGAGAGTGGTCTAGGACCTAAGGATCAAAGATGACCAACATTTCATGAAGAAAAAAAAAAAAGCTCAAGAGTGGTCATTGTTTTTGTCATCATATTTGCATTTCATTTTTGTTCCTCCATATTCCTCATATTTACTCTTCTTAATTAATTTTAATTTTGCCCCATGGCTAAATGGAGCTCCGATGAGTCATTATCATCTGTCACCATCTAACTTGAGCATATTGTACTAATGCTAAACTTTCCAGCACCACTAGCATTAATAATACTCCTTTGAGCTATATTTATAGAGACAAGTCATCCATAGTGCAGTTGGAGTAAGAAAAAAGGAAGAAAAATATGAAAGGTATAAAGAAAGAAAGAAAACAGTTCTCCACCAAGGTAGGGTGTGAAGACGATAGATAAAGAAAATATGATAACGAGATGTGTCTAGAAAGCACAGACAACAACAAGAAGAAAGCAAAGAAGAGCCAACATGTAGTCAAAATAAGAAATAGAACAAAAAGTAGAGACATTAGAATAAACAAAAGAAAAGAGGCAAAGGAGGGGTGCAACAAAATAGAGCGGAGTATGAAAAGTAAAACTTGTTTGTCTTTTTTCTTTTTAATAATCTCTTCCCCTGAGATGCAGAGTGAAATTCATGTAACAGGTCTCTTGTTCAATTATACACCCTGTTTCTGGCAAATGATTACAGAAGTTACCTTAACAATAAATGAACAGTGCTCAAGCCCTATGAAGTGCTCATTAAAGATGAGGCATAAAGATTGTGTTTGGATTGTGCCTCAGGGTTCATATAGCTCTTATCTTCTCTAGTACTTGTTTTCAAGATTATAAATATTGGTCCAATACCAGTTGCCATAGCCTGTCAGATCAATACAGTACCAAGATACCGAGCAGTGTACCAACTTATACCCCCTTGATAACACTAATTAAATAGTAATATAGACTGACCAGTATTCCAAGCTGTACCAAGGTGCATGGTTCACTATGGGTCATGGCTGAATCAGTAAATACTGGTTGGTACATATCTCTCCAACTGGTATCTTAAGCCATGTTTGGTTTCATATACAACTAAGTGAACATGTGATAGACTGGTATCTTGTGGTAATATTTGTGAAATTCATTAATCAAAGAAACCCTTAGCTTGCTTAATTTTCATCTTTTACCTAGAATTCAGGATTCTGTGACCTGCTTAAAACTAATTCTGCAACATGCTTGGTTCTTAATTTGCAATCACATTTCTTGTATTGCAATTTTCTTGTAATTTATACAATTAATTTTTCAGGTCACATCTGGAATGTGCTGAAAAATCATGTGGACTGCACCTTATTGTTACTGGTGCTCTTGGATTCCGGACAATACACCAGGTTCTTTTTTGCTGAATGATTTGTGGGAGCTAACCTTGTAGTGTATCAACCTCTTTTGAAGAAACTTTGTTTTATATGATTTAGGTAGAAGCAAAGCCTCAGTTGATACTTGCTGCAAACAATCATGAACAAAGCCATGTGCATCTCTCTCAAGTCCAGAGTGATAGTACTGTTTCTGAAAGTAAGGATGCAGTTGATCATAAACTTGATGATTGTTCTGATGTACTAATGACACCAAAATTAGTAAAAAATGGCAAGAATGATGATCTTAATGTGGATCTTACTCACATCAACAAGGATATTAATTTGACATTCATCCAGCAAGCTGTTATACTTGCACAATGCTTACATCTCCAGAGGAGAAGTCGTGATGATGAATTGTCTGGTAAGTTTTGCTTCATATGATGATGGCATTTGCATGAACTCTCTTGATCTTTTTCTTATAGTTCTCTTTTTTTTCAAAATTATGTGGAACACTAAATTAGTGTCCTTTTTCATTGTATGTTTTATGTGCTTATAAATATTAATTACTGTATTGATATAATTATGTTTAGATGCCTAGTTGTCATGTTACTGCTATGAATAGTGGAACCTATAGTTAATATCTCCAAGACTTTCTTCTTTTCCTAATAATGTTTAAAGCAATTCAAAACTCCGAGCAACATGTTGGTGAAAATGCATATTGTATTTGCAAGTGTTGTGTCCTCTCCTTGTCCTTCTCCATTCTGTCTTCCTACCAAATTTTGTTAGTTGTTTTTGGATCTACATCATTGAAAGCATTAACGAGGGTGAGAATCGTCATAGTTGTTCAAATGAATTTAATTAAGGCGACTAACTTTAAATGGCTAAGGACTTGTTGGTTGTTTTTCATTTTATTTTACATCTGTTTTTTTGGGATTGATTATGACATTTAGGCTATGGGCTATAAGATAGTAACAATTTTCTAAGCTATAGATTGGACAACCATATCAGTAGTGCTGCTCTGTGCTGCATGGGACAATTGATCAATGACTGAGGTGCAGTACTTGCATCTGAGGCATTTAACTTATTCAGTGCCAATTAATTCAAACATTAAGCTATTCTGACTCTTATTTATATATACAGTTGTTATTTTTCTCTATCTCTGTGTTTTTGTATTTAAGTACATGTGCTAAGTTACATCCCAGTTACCTTTTTTGACCATGGCTGGTGCTCTAGTGGATTGCGGTTTGTAGTCACCGGTTGTTTACCTGTAGTAGCAGATGCAACACTAATATAGATAATTATGGTAGTGCTACTGCCCATGCAGTCTGACATTTCTCAACATCCTTATGAAAGTTTACTCTTTATTTTGTTTCATTATTATTGTAAAACTATTATATAATAGATGGTTTGATGCTGTTTTTTTTCTTTCTTTATCTTGCCAACATTTTTTACTTCTATTTACATGACGTTGTTTCCTTCTGGTCATACTCTGTAGGGTGGGAAATGGCCCCATACATTGAGGCTATTCATTCTCAACATCAAACTTGCTACACTGTGAGTATTACAATTTTTTTATATCCTCTAGATTTTACTTATACTGATTATTATCTGAATTAATATATATTTTTCTATCTCCATTATCCTTGGTTCTTCCATGTTTTCTTGGCAGGCTTCATGAAAAGAAACATGATTCTATAACATTTTTATAACTTAATGCACCTGACTTGACATGTTCCCTTTTAGTTGGTATAAACTGAGTCAAGTAACTTTGACAAGATATGGACCCTTACTGGCCTCTTAGACCAGTAAGCATTGAAAAGAGACCTATATCATTGGACATGTGATTTGCAACATATGGATTGCTGTTATCTAAATACCATGAGTTCTATAAATAAGTTGCCAGCTCTACTTCCAATGCATCATTTGATGAATTTGGTGCTACAGTATGATCAGCATTGTTTTGAGCAATACCTACTTGATGCTCTGGGAATTTGCTGTTTATTTTATTAAATCCCACTGTTCAGTGTTTATGTATGCATTTATTGAGTGTTCATTTCTGTTGTATTATTCTCAATACCTTCTCACAAGTTGTTCTGTTCAGTTGTGTGGCTATATCTGTTGTGTGTTTTGAGACTATATAGTGCGGCAGCTGTCTGTATTAGAGACTCGGCTAATAACCTTCTATGTGGTTGCTTCAAATGTCACTCAAATTATATCATCAAAGATGTGGGTGAAGTAGTTTCAGTTTCATGTATTGCTATCTCCTGCACTATGCAAATACCATTATCATTGAGGATAGGGCAATAGGTCGCCTGTTTGAGCTAGATTGCCCTGATGCAGCATATTTATTGTTGGTGCAAAAGTCGAGTTGGTTTGTGTGTATGGTTATGATTTTGTGATATGTATGTTCAAAGAAAATGGATATGGAAGGGATGGAATGTCACTTCCCATCCTATCCTCAGATATTTGATATTAATCTATCATGTGGCTGGTACAATAAATAGGACTTGCTTGGAAAAAATTGTTTTTCAATCATAAATTTTTATTATTTTCATTATAATCCTTCAGATAATTATTGTTGCCGATGTATTATAACATTGAAGCCATAGTAATTGAACATATTAGCATAAAAGAAACAATGAAGTTCTGTTGAACTCTTCTTTAGAGAAGACATTACACTTGCTATTTTAATTGGAAATTGCCATCATCTAATGAAAATATCTTTCTAGATTAGTAACTTCTGTGACATTCTGCGAATCCGATGGGAGTCTAAACGAAGTCGAACAAAGCAGCGGGCTTTGCTTATGATGGATAAGTTGGTAAGACAACTTCATCTTTTTAGGGCTTATGCCATTTTTCGGACACAGTGCACATGTTTTCCTTAGATGTTGACATGAGTTTATCTCTTGGATATATGCTAGGGTATGTTTGTTTATGAGGAAGCCTGCATTCTTGCAGATTTATTTTATGGTCTTTTGCTTAAAGCTTTGCTATCTTTATGTTCTCCAGACATATGACATGTGCAAATAATTCATTGCAATATTTCTCATCCTTTTAAAATTCTGCTGGTGAGCATTTCTTAATAATTTTCTCTATGGACTACCATATTTGTTGTGCTTCTTGCCTTCTGATCTTTGTTCATGTGCTATGCATTTGAAGTTTCTCAAGTATGTTAAGCATCATTGTGCTATGATTCAGCTCGGAGTTCAAGCAATGAAGATTAAGGATTAGATCATTTAAAAGAAACCATTTTGTTTTGCTATAATCATGATTCATTACTAGGTTCATTATATTCTAGATTTAATGTTGTAGTTGAATTTTTTGTTTGTGACACATTAAAACTTGTGCAAGGGTAAGTTGGCACTTTTCATCTGCTTGATTTTATTTTCTAATGTTGTTTTGTAGCTTATACCTCCTTGCATACCAAGAGTTAGGTCACCATTACTGTCACAAAGAATTGACACTAGATTCTCACCTCATATGGTTTCTTGTTCAATTCTTTCGAAGTAATTTCATCCTTTCTTTGTTCGAGCAATGATTTCAATAGGCGCTCGGGCGAGGCGAGGCGAGGCCCGAGCGCCTTGCTTCATTTCCAGGCGGCACGCTTCAAAGAGGCGCTGCCTGGGCACTCGCCCGAGCCCAGGCGCCAGGCGCTCGGGGCGAGCGCCTGGGTTAAACCAGGCGACCGAACCAGCGTTTTAGGTTTGGTTCGGTCTTAGGTGCTTTAGTTGGTTCAATCGAACCAACTTAAGCACAAATATTAGTGTGACTTCCCCAACCCTAGCCCTGCTCGCCATTCATGCTACTGCCGTCGCTACTTGCTGCCGCTGCTGCTGTCACCACTCGCTGTCCTCGCTGCCGCTGCTCGCTGCCGCTCCCACTATTGCCGCTGCCGCTGCTCGCTGCTACCATTGCCACTGTCTCCGCTCGCCGCTCTCGCTCCCGCTGCCGCTGCTCACTGCTACTGTTGCCACTATCTTCGCTCGCTGCTTCCGCTCCTGGTCTTGCTGCTCGCTGCTGTCGGTGCCACTGTCGCCGCTTGCCGCTCTCGCTGTCGCTGCTCACTGCTGCCGGTGCCATTGTTGTCGCTCACAGTTGCCGCTCCCGCTCTTCTCAGTCAACACCCTCGGTCTTCCGACTCTTCCCTTACACTATTCTCGTCTTTCGATAGTATACTGTTAACAGTATTACTGTATACCGTTAACTGTATACTAGTAATAGTATTTGTATTTATTAGATTAATTTAATAGCATATTTTATTTTAAAATTTAAATAATTCTATTTATTAATTATATTATATATTTTTATATTTTAGTGTCTCACTTCGCTCGGGCGAGCGCCTAGCGCCTCGGGCGTTTTTGGACCTTGGCGCCTAGCGCTTTTTAAATCATTGTGTTCGAGATTCTCCTTTCATATTCTACTCCATACCAACGAGTAACTATGATCGATTTAGTTATGCTTTCATGTTCTAATTGAATACTTTTCATTTATAATCAAAGATGAAAATTATTCTTTTTACCAATCAATATGTGGACTAGAACAAGAGAGCTTTCTGATCAATCCCCTTGCCCTTTGGTTTTTTTTTTTGGATAATGAGAAAGATTCTTTTCAAGCTTGAATTTGTTCATTTGGAACCTGGGCTAATTGAAGCACTAGACGGTACAGGCACAATCACCTGACCGTCATTGTACTATTGTTCTTTTTTGAATTGTTAGTATAATCTAATAATATGACCAGATCCTAATACTCTAGTACTCTCTTCTGCTTTTATATTATGATTCCATATAAATTTTGATTTGATGGTTCACGAATGAACCATCTGATACTATTTTATATAATGGAAGGATATCTTTCAGTCCTTCCGTATGTCAGTGCACTTCAGCTGTATTTCGTGCTGCTGCAGATTCCTTCTAAATACTTACAGCCATCATCCATTTGTCCTATCTAATAAGTCCTTGATCGGCCCATAACAAATCAGCTTATAGTATAACCATTAACTTTAGCCAGAGTTAGCAAGACTGAGACCTTGGTCTGAATTTCAGACATAAATGACTTATCTGAAGTTGAACGTGATATTTCCCTCGGATGATTGGAAGCTGACCCAGTTTGATCCAGTCATGGGACCTCTGGTACTAGATCATCAAATGTGATGTATGCCACCCACCACTTTGTATATTGATTGAAACATTCTTCAAATGGAAAGGATCCATATAGAAAGGTTGGAGGAGGAGGTCAAAAGGAGAGGATCTTCTTTTAGCTCTTTTTCATTTTAAAACATATTCATTCGATTGTTTAATCTCCTAGACGCTCTTAACAACAATGAATTCGTAAATAAGAAGCATAAAAAAATTAATTTATAAGAGAATTAGTGGAAATTAGAAATCTAAAAGTCATACCTATGCCATTATTTTGGGCTTTTGGGCCTAAGATTATAAATGGTGGTTCATGGCTGATCTACTGTATGCACATCAAACCAACAGAAGCTAACACATTTCACCAATTGTAGGGTAATAAAGGATGAAGCAAGTGAAACAAGTTCGTCAATTGTCAAAATAGAAAGAATTAATTGCACGAGTGTATGTAGCATATATTCTGAAACTGTCATTGCATCCTAGATAGCATCTGAAACTACTGTCAACAATTACCATTCTTATTCACGCTGACGTTTCCTGCTCTCCTGTCTTGCTGGATTACTAGGTTCAAGTTATTTTTGATGCTTCTCCTGTGACTGCCCAAAGGATTCAGCTATGTTATGGGCTTTATATCCCAACTGTTTCAGCACTGAGGAAGTATGTCTTATTGGTCGTCTTGCAATATTTTATATCTCTCTTTGTTGAAACTATCTTCAGTTATCAGAACTTTCTTGTTTTCTATTCTGTTAAAAATATGGACTATCTAATGACTAATTTGTTCTATGTCAATTTTGCACTTCCAGAGAATATGGTGAGCTGTTGGTGAGTTGTGGTTTAGTTGGAGAGGCACTAAAAATATTTGAGGATCTTGAATTATGGGATAATCTAATTTACTGCTATCAGTATGTAATTGTTTTCATTTATATTGTCATTTTTTTTGCATTTGTATATGTCATAGGTCTAATCAAGTTGTAAATATACTCACTCATTTTGACAGATTACTAGGGAAAAAAGCAGCAGCCGTTGATCTTATCAAGTCACGCCTACATGACATGCCTAGTGATCCAAGATTATGGTGAGTTGAAAATATGTTTTTTTGGCTGGTAACATGTTATTTGAAAGAGTGAAAGATTGTGTATTTGTTGATTGAATATAATTTGAGTATTCCCCTCTCACTACAGCAGAGGTGTATATGCTCTTTGGTCATTAGCTTATAAAAAACGTCTTGTTACAGAGTTAAGGAACTTATTATATTAAGAATTGTTCTTATTGGTCTTCATAAAGAATAATTTGCTCTTGATAGTATCTTCAATTAATGGCCAAATAATTGAATAATTCTTACAAAATCAGGAGGATTTTGATTAGGGATTTTCCCAACCATAAAACTGATAAGACCCTAGGGTTTTATCATAAAAGAAAGGGGAGAAAAGGGGATGATCACTTCGAGGGGATCGGCCTCCTTGATCATTTCGAGGGGATCTGCCTCCTAGGGTTTGTCAGAAGACTGAAATAATATTTTATTGATTGCCGAAAAGAAACAGATACATCCCTATTTATAGAGTTCTATCCAAAGTTCATCAGGACTTGGATTCTTAATAAATAAATAAATATCAAATAAACCCCTATCCGATGAACTAGACCAACTCAATAAAACATTATTCAAAGCTTAGAAAATAAAAGGATCATAACAATTCCTCCCTCTTCAAATTAGCCTTGTCCTCAAGGCTGAGTAGTATCAAACTCGAGGAGTTTCGCTTTCAGCACTTCAGTCACAGGATATCTGTGGCGCATCACAAGTCATTGATTAAGTAAGTATGGTCTCCACTTCTTGATAATTTAAGCAATAGGTCGGCCTTTCGGTGTAGTAGTCGTTGTAGTCTTTCGAAGAACCTTCTCCATCTGATGGCTAGTGGCTGTTGTGACCTTACTTCCACATCTTCCCTTTAGGATCACCTGCTTTCCATTAATAAGAAACTTAATGATTAGTTTAGAAAAAATTTAAGAAACATCACCCATGGTTGATAATCATTCAATTCCAAGCACCACTTTGAAGTCTTTTAAGGGTAGCAAAAAGAAGTCAACGAGCTATTTCCACCTTTGATTCTTCTGGAGTTCTGTGAAAATGGAAAAAAATTTCTGCTCTAGAGATCCAACTGGTCGGATCTCCATCTTCCTGTTTTGGGAATTCCACCTTCATGCGTGGGTTGCTTTTGTCCTGTTCTTGGTTCCTTTTTTCTGTCTTCAGATCGGTTCAATGTAAGACTTGAACTTTCATCTTGTTGAAACTTGCTAAAGCTCTCTAATAGACTCTTTTTAAAATCGTTAAGGGTTTCTTGTAGCCGATTCTCAATTCTAGTTTCCAAGGCTTCTAATTGGGCTTTCACTGTGTTGTCGATAGCCATTGCGTAAGACTGCAGATCTGTAATCTCCAACTGCTGTTTCTGGTGTTGGGTCAAGGGCATCAGTACTGCACTATTCGACGCGACTACTATGAAGTTTGGCTCGGGGCAGCGTTGAGGGCGTAAGGGAACGCGAAGCTATCGAGGAAGCGGACACCGAGGGCAGCGTAAAGGCTTGCTGTGGTCGCTGCGAGGAGGAAAGGTTGCTGCCCTGTTTTTGTCGCTGCGTGGGGTGAGGCTGCGGGGGTTGGAAGGTGGCGGCGTCGGCGTGGGGAGCGACTGAGGGCGGCTGCGCGTGTGGCTGCGGTTGTTGTGACCCAAGGGGAGCAATTGCCGAGCGGCCGGGGTTGAGGCTGCGGGGGCTGGAAGGCGACGGCGTCGGCATGGGAGCGATTGAGGGCGGTTGCGTGTGTGGTTGCGACCCAAGGGGAGCGATCACCGAGTGGTCAGGGTTGAGGCTGCGGGGGTTGGAAGGTGATTGCGTTAGCATGGGGAGCGACTGAGGGGGTTGCAGATGCCGATCGCGCGCGGTCGCTGCGCACACGGTCGCTGCGTGCGTAGCGATCGCAGAACGAGGGTGGTGGTCGTTGGCCGGAAAGCAACGGTGGCGGTGGTTGCTGGCCGAGAAGCAATAGCAAAAGGGGAGGAAACAATGGTGATCGACGGCTGCGGCAGATGCATAGTTGCCCTATTTCGATCGTCGCAAGGAGGGGAGGTTGCTGTCGAGGTCGGGAGGCAATAGTGGTGGTGCGGTTAGGAAGCAGCGGCGGTGGTGGTCGCTGCCCTGGAAGCAGTAGCAAAAGGGGGGGAAACAACGGTGACCGACGGTTGTGGTAGAAGATGCAGAGTTGCCCTGTTTCGGTCGTCACGAGGAGGGGAGGTTGCTGCCGAGGTCAAGAGGCAGCAGTGGTGGTGCAGCTAGGAAGTAGCAGTAGCAAAAGGGGAGGAAACAACGGTGATCGGCGGCTATGACAGAAGATGCAGAGTTGCCCTATTTTGGTCGTCGTAAGGAGGGGAGGTTGCTGTCGAGGTTGAGAGGCAATAGTGGTGGCACGGCTGGGAAGCAACGTCACCGAGGATTGGGAGCAACCAAGGATCGTTGAGGCTAGGAGTGATGAGGGGGGTGGTCCGCTAGTCGGGAACAGTGGCGACTGCCCTTTCTTGCTTGAGTAGGATGGGGTGTGGCTGCGTACGCGGCTGGTGGGTGGCTGTGGCGCAACGAGGGATGTGGTCGTTGGCTTGGAAGCAGCGGCGGTGGTGGTCGCTAGTCGGGAATCAGTAGCCCTTGTGAGGAGGATGGTCGTGGTTGTCGTTTTTTTTTTAAGATGATGATAATTGCGGCGAAGTGTTGTGATAAATTGCAGAGAGAACGCTGAGGATCGCTTCTTTGATACCAAATGATAGTTTTATCATAGAAGAAGGGGGAGAAAAGAGGATGATCACTTCGAGGGGATTGACCTCCCAGGGTTTGTCAGAAGACTAGAATAATATTTCATTGATTGCCGAAAAGAAACAGATACATCTCTATTTATAGAGTTCCACCCAGAGTTCACCAGGACTTGGACTCTTAATAAATAAATAAATATCAAATAAACCCCTATCCGACTCTTACTGAACTAGACCAACTAAATAAAACATTATTCACAACTCAGAAAATAAAGGGATCCTCACACAAACATCATCTTGATCTGTTGTGAACTGTCATCATGCAGTTGACCACTGAAATAGGCTTTTGCACATGTTGGATTAGGACTGCTCATGTTTGATCCTATTCCAACCGCAGAATTGTGGTGATCTCGTATTCTTGGTGACATGTATGACATCCATGATGTATAAACCTTTGGCTGTATAAAAGGGATTACACGAAAGTATTGCACACATAGTTATGTTTTCCTATATTTTGTTACTGTTTGAGAAGTACATGCATTAAGACAAATGTGCATAGGGATGGGTGTCATTTGCCATGCAGAATGTCAGCTTCAGGTTGCTTTGATATGTGCCATGAGCCATGCCACCCATGCCAATGCATGTGATTGGTTTTATGTTTTGAGTGCATCAATCATCATGCAGCAAACTCCAACACATGCATTGTGTAAACCATACCAGCTTGTTATGGGATGTTGTATGGTACACCTTCTGCAGGTGTATTTATATCTTAGTCATGATGCATGTGGATGCCTGTATGCCTGTGACATACATGCATAATAGTTTGTGTTTTTTAATGTACAATGGTTGCTGTGATGACAGTTTTCATTTCATCGAGTTTATTAATAGAGCTTCATCTTACTGAGCTTCTCATTCGAGCTTTATTTTATCTGGAATTGGGTTCATTTTCATTTGAAAATTGGATCATATGAACCTATTTATGATTTAAGCTTGTTATATCTGTAACTTGAAGAATCAAAGCGGTTCCTTTCATATGTTTTTCTAAAATCTAGAGAGCAAAGCACTCTTTTTTATTGGTTTTGATTCTGTTATTAAAATTTGATTGAGATCTTGATTTGTTTACTCCATCATGTTCACTTGGTCTATCATGATGTTATCTTGTTTAAAGTCATTGTCTATTCCCATTCGTATCATTGTCTTTTTTTATTATGAGGCTTATTAACCTTTCCCATCTTGTTAACTGGGAAAAAGTGCAGGGTTTCCCTTTTGGCTTAACCCTCATGGTTTGTGCATTTTTTTCCTTTTGGGATAGATGGGCATTCTCATCTTTGTAGACAATTATGCTATGCATGATCATGTCCTATTCGCATAACTTAAAAGGATGATAGGATCAGAGGTTTTGGAAATAGACTTGGTATTAAGAGGAAAATGAGGGGCAAAACAGATGAGGATACTATACAACATGTCGATTTATAGAAATTTCAATTTAAACAATGAAAATAACAAGTATTGCAAATTTAAATGTTTGTCAGTTCTGAGGGCGAGGATTGGTCTTCTATCTAGTTTAACTTGGTAGAGAAGTTGATCCAAAGTCTTCAAAAAAGCAAAGTGTCTCCAAGAATGTTAAGATTATCAAAATTTGGGTTTGGAAAGTTTGGCAATGGTAGGAAGTTGATAGGCTATATGGGAAAAGGGTGATAAAGGGATAAATTAATCTTGGTTCTCCGAATTCACATCAGGGGAAGATTGTGGTCTCATACGACTCAGACAACTTGTGAAAAAAACACTTCCATTCATTCACGAATTTATCATTCTATTGAAATCCCGTTGTCTTTTTCTATAGGTCCCAAGTATAAGAAAGAAAGAAAAAACACAAAAATAAGAAAATATTGCAATTACATCAAATCAAATAATTATCTGCTTTTTTCCTTTTTCAAAGAAAATAAATAATCTTCCTTTTAAATGATTTATCTACTTGATAGATTTGTATCTTTATGGAATGATGAATCTTCCTTGTAGAGTTGAAATTTTAATCAAGATATGTGATATTCAAACAAAATTAAATTTTGATTCCTTCCTTTTCTTTGCATTTTCTTTCTTTTTCTTTTTATTAACATAGGAAATTAACTACAAATATTGGACATGTTGCCATGTGACAACTGTTTTGAAAAAGATCTTTCTAGCATACTAAATTTATTCGAAAGACAAAAATAATTAGACTAAGACTAAAAACATGTTAGTCGAACAACCTGATCATCACCAATCTAAAGGAACTGAGGCTGATCCTTGCTCTAGTATAGATCGAAAAGTATCTCGATTTCCATTACTATGGATTTCTTGCTGCTTGGAATGTTGATTCATCTTGGTTTTGCATGTTAAAATCATTATGTTTACACTGTATAAAGGTGTTCACTTGGTGATGCAACAACCACTGATGCTTATTATGAGAAGGCATTGGAGGTTTCAAATAATAGATCAGCCCGGGCTAAGGTAATGACATTGTTTGCAGAATATAGCTGTGTGTTCTATTTGATTAGACCTAATATTGTAAGATTGTTGATTGTTCTCTTTGGACAGCGATCATTGGCTCGAAATGCATACAACAGGAGTGACTATGAGACGTCAAAAACTCTTTGGTAAATGGCGAGGGTTGGATGAGCTTATGATTGTGGTCTCTTAATGACCCATGTTTAATCTCCATACTTGATTTTGATTTGGAATTGATTTGTACTCAATGTACTGCAGGGAATCTGCCTTGGCTCTTAATTCACTGTATCCTGATGGTTGGTTTGCGCTTGGTGCAGCTGCATTAAAGGTTTGCTTTCATAGCTAAATGTTTTATAGTAGTATCTGTCCAAATACGTTGCATGGAGACTTGGAGTTCTTCAAATTCACATTAAATGCTGGCATTTAAATTTTAAAATGTGAAATTGTATTTAATTTAAGTTTTTAACAATCTTAGCTTGTGTTTGTGATCAAATATCCTTCTCATCCTTAAAGGAAGTTCAAGCTGTAAAGTTGATAGTTATTCATTCTCCTGAAATAAGTTAATTTGATAACACCACCTTCATTGCCAAAACCACATATTTGATGTCTATTATATGTTTGTATATGCAGGCCCGAGATACTGATAAAGCATTAGATGCATTTACACGTGCTGTGCAGATAGATCCGGATAATGGAGAGGCTTGGAATAACGTTGCTTGTTTGTACGATTTCATTGCCTTTATTGTCATCTTCATACTGTGCTTATTGATTAGTATCATTGCCTTTATTGGCATCATCATACTGTGCTTATTGATTAGTATCATTCTTTCAGCTTATTGGGAAAACTGGTTATGCTTACATTTCTCTGCTCCTCTATGTTTAACTAGTTTCAAGAAGGGTTTTGTATTAATGCTTGATTAGTTTCTTTTCTGCTGGTTTTTATCATGTATTGCTACAGCATTGTTTTTTGTTTAAGTTTGTTGTGCTGTTTCTGGCTTATATACACAATGTCTAAAGCCATGCTATCTATTTGTATCATGTTAAAAAAATATTCTTGCAAATTGCTTTCAAGCTTATTATAACTTGGTTGGTAAATACTTTTGTGTTGCCTTTGTGTCCTCAAATGAGCTTTTACACTAAATTGAACTGTTCAGGCATATGATCAAGAAGAAAAGCAAGGCTGCATTTATTGCTTTCAAAGAAGCCTTAAAATTCAGGTTATTATATTTTTTCCTCGTTCTGATTGTGAGGCCTGATAAATACAAAATTTCAACCAACTAATATAAAATATTTAACAGGAGGAACAGTTGGCAACTATGGGAGAACTTCAGCCATGTTGCTCTTGATGTAGGAAACATTCGCCAGGTGAATTGTTTTTTTTTTAAATGTCATTTGTCTCTTTCATAAAATTATTCTAAATATAAGATGTAGTTTATATTGGTTATCTTCATGTAATGTCTACTTTCTTTGCTATGCTCCCATGTTCAAGAGAATAATTTGAGGGTTTACAAAATCAATATTGGGAAGCTTGGGACTTCTAAATATCTTGAAAGTATGGCTTGGCTGGTTTAACCAAGCTACTTGGGCATGTTAAAGCATTGTAAAATGCCAAGAAAGGTACTTATATGCTATAACAAAATTAAAAATATTTGTTAGCGATGGTGATTCATCCATATTACTGATAATAACATTAAGCATGTAGTATCAATCATGATAGTCAATGAAGGGAGAAGCTTTTCATATTGTATCTAGCAACACATAAGCAGCAAATGAACATAATGTACCAACTCAACATACAAGAAGTTAATGATTGAAACTTTAGAAGTACAGCCACAGAAGTACTTTAGCTGTACAACATTCAAAAACAATAAGTTATGCAAGTTTGGAGTCTGAACCTGATAATTCTCGATGCAAAAGAAAAGTGGAAGACAAAAATGGGCTGCTTAATAGTCCCGCTATCACCAATCTTCAGAATGGTGTTATCTTCATCCAGAGTTACTCCTTGTTGCAGTTACAATCATCTCATGTCTTGATCATATCAAGCTTGTCAAGATCAAGTTTGTCAAATAGTTGTGGTAGAGAGTGATAAATTTTGTCTTTGGCTAAAGTTCTGCATGATAAAGTTAAGATGAAAGGCTTATTATATTTTTCTTATCTCTTTGTAACACTAAATCTTTAACCTCTTGAATCAAAGGTGTTCTCCAGTAATACATTTTGAAATGACACAATGTCCTGATGTGCTCTAAGCCTTGTGCAATAAATAACACCCCAAACCATTGAGCTCTTTTGTGCTAACCTAGTGTGTCAATCTTGTATAAATTTAATCAAACATGCTCTTAGCTATTATCCTATGTTAAATACTAGTTGGAAGTCAAGCACACACATATAAACATTTAATGAGGAAATTAAACTATTTATTTGGTAATGCCACTAAATTGCCTTAACCACCAAAGTTTTTGTAAAATGTGATTATGTAGAATATATTAACCTTACACTCTTTAAAAATTTGTAGTTACATAGAACATAAAAGCCTACAATCTTTGGAATGATTCTAATCTCTTACTTTATTGCAGTCACTAGAAGCCACAAAAATGGTACTAGATCTGTCGTCAAATAAGCGAGTGGATGTTGAATTGCTGGATAAGATATTGAGAAAGTTTGAAGATCATGAAAAGAACGCTAACTCTGATCTCTCTTCAAGTGATATTTTTGATGCTGAATATTCTTTAGTTGAGCCTTATGACACACAAGCCATCCCTGCAGAACCACGGGAAACTGAGCTCTTGTTGGACATGCTTGGAAATATTATGCAGCAGGTCTCCAAAATCTAGTTTGCTTGTTCCTTTGCTTTGAATTGTTCTTGTGTTTGTGCTGTTAAAAGTAGTTATACCTTTTTGGCTTTATCCTTGTCAAAAGTAATTATTTTAATGCTCTTTTACAGTTACTTGGTGACATTTTAAAGTAAGCTTCTGATTTTTTTTTTGGTTCTATTTCTTGCAGGTTATCCGTAATGGTGTCCCCGAAGATATATGGGGTTTATATGCAAGGTGGCACATAATCAAAGGCAACCTTATTATGTCTTGTGAAGCCCTTCTGAAGCAAGTTAGATCCTTCCAGGTAAACCTGTGATGGAATTATGCTTTATCTTGCAAGTTAGTGTCACTAAGAGGGTATTGGGATGAGTGTGTGGGTTATCAGAGAGGATAGAGTTATTCACAACTCATTAGGTGCTATATCTTAAGATAGAATAAGGCAAGCAATGCAAGGTCGTTTGGACATTTTCTAAGATGATATTGGGATGAGTTTGTGGGTTATCAGAGAGGATAGAGTTGGATAATTATGTTGGATATTTGATAACTTTTGCTACATTTACCTTCTGTTATTGCTTTGGCATAATAGGTATTGATATAAAGTTTGCAAACTCTGTACTCTATGAACTGTCTGCTCTCATATGCATTCTAATGATAGTGGTCAGCTTGGTTGTATCTGCATTTCTTTCTCATTTTTCATTTCCTGTATTTGATCACAGGGCTCTGAGCTTTGGCGTGATAGAAACCGATTTAAAAAATTTGTTCATGCTTCCTTGCAACTCTGCAAAGTTTATATGGATATTGCTTCCTCTACTGGAAGCTGTCGAGAACTCTTTACAGCTGAAATGCATTTGCGAAGTTCGGTTAAACAGGTAATGCACGTTAAGCTAAACATTGGAAGGAAGCCAACTTTTTGCTATTGTAAATTTTGTTTTATCTTACATGTCAAAGCTCATTATATTAATCATTAATATGATAACTTCAAAATATTTGCCATTAAGCCTCCATAATCATTTTGGATAGTCCAAGAAAACATCAACTTGGTGGGACCATTAAAAAAGATGATCCACTGCATGAAGCTCCCGTTAATATGGGTTCTGTATGCAGATAGGCTGTTTCCATGAACTGAACCAAGGTTATCTGGTTTGCAAAGGTGCAAGCTTCTATGGAGCCCAGATTCATGATCTTGTTGGATGACTTGCAATCTATCCAATGTATTAGGAACTTGTGTGACATAAGCTCTTCCTTTTTTTTTTTTTTTCTCTTTGCCTTTTTCATGATGAGACATGTTACCACCTCCAATGGAGTTAATTATTGATTGACATGATATCCGATAGTAACTTGAGAGCTGTAATTTAATGATGTATCCTTTTTGTTGATTGCTAACTCCAAATAGTTGCTAAGTACGGCTTGGTTGTTGTTGTATTATCTTTTTTATTGATTCTAGTCTACTATGTTGATTGAGGATATACTTTAGCAGGACTTTTTCTACAACTGACTTAATCTGAGTTCTTATCGACCTAAAAGTCCAGAGAAACACTTCAGCAGGATAGACAAGTTAGGCTCACTCTAGTAGGTTTTTTTTTCCCTTTTTTGAGATTAAGACCGATTTAGTTGTGGTCTAGTGAAATATGATTCAGTCTGTAACTCTCTTCCAGAATTAGACTCCTAAGATCTGTCAAATAAGTGGCCCTGTTTAATCTTGCAAAGTACTTCTGATTGGTTGTTCATTTCTTTGTTATGGGGGTGGGTTATAATCATGGAAGTCCAGTTTTCATTCCATTGTTGTGTTTGTAGAGAGAGCGTTAACAGCTGAGAGGAAGAATGTCCTGATGATTGGATCAATAATTCTTTTGATCAATAAGTAGAATGCGTGCCAGTATTTGATCATTGAGAAGACTTGCTAGAATAGTTGATTTGTTTCTAGCTTGTATGAACAGTCAGTTACAATATTCTTGCCAGTATTTGATCATTGTGAAAGTATAGGTGGTTGAGCATTTAGCATGCCATTTGCTCACTCACCCGATTCTGCTTTGTTAGAAGGGTTCTGGAATTCAGTCATAATCTCTTCTTTGTACTGAAACAGTTGGATTTTATTCCTATTATAGAGGGTATAGCACTGACTAGGGATGTGAGTATCTAAAGTTGCTGTTCCAATCCAAAGCCCCCTGGAGAAGTTTTCTGGTCATATGATGTTTGCACCCACTAAAAATTTGGCTGGCTTCAATCCGGACTTGGTGAGGATTTACTTGAAATTTAAGCCCTTATTTTTTGGGTACATATATAAGATTGTAGAATAAAATGTTAAGATCTAGTATATCCAATGCTGGAGGTTATTGTAGGTAAAATCTATCTTCTGGTTGCACTTGTTTTACCTAGACTTTTCTGATTAGAATTTGGATCTACTTTTATTTTTTAAAGGAAAAAACAATAATCTCTTCATGCCTCCCAATTCTGTTTTTCCAAACTTGTTTGATATGTTTAAATTTTACTTCTCTTAAGGGCATTCAATTTATAACTATGTTGTTCTTAATGAATATCATCTTATCATGTTTCATCAGACTTCATCTACTTGCATATTTTTTGAAGTAAGTGAATCCCAGTGACTTGTACTTTGCAGGCTGTGGACTTCTCAGACACTGATGAGTTTAGGGATCTTAAAACATGTCTTGATGAAGTAAAGAAGCAGATTGCTGCAACTTCTGGTGAAGGTGCCTAGCTAGATATGTCGACTTTAAATAACTTTTACATGTTTGGAGGTAATCATTTTTCGAAGCTGCAACTCCGTAATTATCCTTATATGAAGCTAGATTCTGTATCGAGAGCCATGGTTCCTTCATGTCAAAGATGATGCCATGTCTGCCTAAATGAGCATTTGGGCATGTAATCTGAACTTGTTGATTTTCTTTGGATTCAGTCTCCTGTGTTACCTGATGGTTCAAAGTTTTCTATGACCATGCTGAAGGACAGTCTCGGGGAGTTTGTGGTGGGTGTTTTCACGGATGCTTCAGAAGGCTTTATTTATGTACTTGAGGGTTGTGTTGTTATGAGGGATGTGTTATCACATACATGTAAAAGTTTTGATCTAAGAATTCCATCTGGCAGTCATTTTTGGCTTGAGCATATATTCTAATGGCAGAATTCATTGGTTCGTCATTTTTGGCTTGAGCATATATTCTAACGGCAGAATTCATTGGTTCTTTCATAGACCTTGTAGTCAACCTATCATCTTTTGAAGGCAGCCGAGCTTGTTTTGCCGATCAGTGTGACAATCTTTGGATTAAGATATTCACTGTTACAATTTAGTGATAAAGCATATAATTTAGTGTGACAACTTTTTTGAAAGAAAAGATGGCATTATTGATTAACTGAGCACCGATGCGGTGACCATGACCAGTACTCCCATGCAGCCAAAGTTAGCTAGTTTGTCAGCTAATTGATAAGTGTTTCTCCAAATAAAATTGAATGTTATAGCAGTCCGAGATCATGAGATCGATTCGTCTTTAAACACAGATCCTAAATAATTTCGGTCATATGTTACTCGAAAGGGACATCGAGACAATCGGACAGATTGGTGTGTTATATACCTATCCATATGATGGATGCAGTTGATTTCATAACTGCTTGTGTGGGGACATTAGGTATACAATATAGGTGCTCATTGGAGAGTAAGTTTACTAATTGATCTGCTTACGAAATGCTAGATAGTTGATTATACCTTGTCAGACAGCGATTCCGTAGTCCTATTAGTGTATCTAGTTCTTAGACTTCAGATACCAATGATGTCTTGTATGAGTGCTCCATTCTTTGATACCGGACTTATAGGTATAGATGTCCTAGATCTAGTACAACCGGTCATCGAGAGTGGCAGTCAATCTTACGAGAGCTATTGATTGTCGATAGAGGATCATCCACTCTCGGTGTCATGAGAGGAATATCCCATGTGTTCTTGCTCAGACAAATCCCTAGCCAGGGTCATTCAGATTGAGAGAAAGAGTTATCCAAGAGAATCCGGTTAGAGAAAGACTTGAGAAGAAAATGTATGGGTTTGATAGCACCATGCCCGGTATATGGTCATTGGGATATTAGATGGATGATGGACTATAGGTATATGGTAACTGAGGATAGACAGGTCCAATGGATTGGATTTCCCTATATCGTCTGGGGACTATAACGTAGTGTCATAGTACGTCCGTAGTCGATGAGTTGAGTGAATTATTATAGAGATAATAATTCACTGAGCTAGAAGGAGTTCTGATAGGTATGACTCACGGCTATCTCATATTAGGCCTAGAGGGTCACACACATATGGTAGACGTTGCAATGAGTAGAGGTTCGAATATGAGATATCCGTCGGAGCCCATATCTTATTGGATATCCAATAAGCCCATGAATTATTGGATCCTATGAATGAGATCCAATAAAAAAGCTCATGAGAGATTATTGAATAGAAATCCACTAATTTAAGAGGCTTGAGTAGTTGGATGTAGATCCAATACCCAATAAGAGAGGATCCATTAGGGTTAAATTGATAGAGGACTTATATAAATAGGAGGGATTCAGTGGTTCATAGGCTAGAGCCTTTGCTTGCCTCTCATATTCTCCTCCCCCTCTCCTCCTCAAAGTAGGCCTAGAGTTTTGAGGAGTGTCGTCGCAGCCCTATTGTGTGGATCACCGCTAGAGAGGGCGCTTGACCTCCTTCTCCCTCTCCTAGAAATCTATGAGGATTCAGGGATATACGATCTCCCTAGGTAATATAATCTTTACTATACACAATTTTTTGTTTTGCGGATTGTGTACCAATCTTCGCACGACGACGAACAAATCTTTGAAAAATTGAGGATTTTGTTTTCTTTTCTTCCGCTGCGCATGTGATGTCTTCCCCAAGATTTTTCAATAGTGGTATCAAAGCCAGGTTGTTCGTGTGAAAGATTGGTTTTGAACTACGTGTGTTGTGTTTGTGCAATGCTTTTGATGTCATCAGCCCCCACGGGGGTGACGACTACAAGAATAACCCCGCGAGCAGAACCGCCCATAGGGGCGGTGGTGCCCGCAGGGGCACCCGCCAGCGGGTGCGCCTAACTGTAGCGACGCCGCCTTTCGGGCACACCTCCCGCAGGCAAGGGCAGTGCCCCGCACCCCGCCGCACACGCCACCGGCAATAGGGTGGTGGCAACGGTAGCAACAAGGGAGAGGGAGAGGGGCTTAGGGTTTTGGGCAAAACGATAGTTTTGCCCCTATGAATTTTTAAAATTCTAATTCTGTCTTTTTTGTCCAAATTATGAAAATACCCCTCAGAATTCATAAAATTTCCTATATGTCCGTGATTTCATAAATATTAATTAATCAAAAAGTTTAATTGATTATTATTTTTATTATTATCTAGTAGTCCTATATGATGATTATTTATACATGTGATGCATGATGTGTGGACGGATGATCATGGACCATGTTATGTGTGTACTTGTGATCATTATTATTGGAGCCTACGAGCCTTCATTATATTTCTCGTTTATTGTTGGGCTTGTGTGCCTATGATTAAGTTATAATCATATGAGGAGGCGTAGTGGGAGCGTGGATGCAATAGCGAGACCCACGAGATGGGCGATCGCGATGCATGGAGATGCGTCGAGATGTCGACGGAACCAACAAGGATGAGATGGAAAGTCACAGGGCATGGAGATACACTGCTACACACATAGATCTTGATGTGAGTGATTAGGCCCATTATCTCAGGCTTGATCATATTAGGTTGTGGTCCATGATCATCTAGTGTGATTGCTTATACACATACTAGATATGTATATATATTTGCATGTTGTGTAGAGATATATTAAATATATATATGTGTGACATGTCATATTAGGAGACCAAATCATAAAAACCCCTCTCTCGATAATATTAAGTCGGTAAACGTGAGACAATTAGATTGACCCACGTGGCCTTCCATCGTTAAAGGTAGGGACCGATTCCCGGTATAGGTTGAATTTGTTAAGTCCCTTGAGGGTCTTGCCTATATCGCGATTCGTTATTTTGCCTATGACATAGAGATGTCACCGGTAACTTGAGGACATGGTATGCTTAGTCGAGTCCCTCAAGGTTATATCATCAAATCAGCCTTATCTTGTAACGATAGTGTTGACTTAACTGAACATCAGGGTTGGTCGAGTCCCTCGAGACCATGGTGATTCGGAGGCCGAACAGGACAGGAATCACAAGGAGTTGTGATCGACAAGAGTTGGCTACCTTTCGGGCTTAGTGTGATTGGTCGAGTCTCTCGAGGTTACACTAAGACACTGATTGGATCTTGATCCCCACTAGAAGTCTATCAGAGACTTCCGTTTCATGTGCTGAGGGTGTCGCGTGACTCATCGGTAAAATAGTGGGAACATATTAAGATAGAAGTCTATATCTTGATTGTTTATTTTTGTAAAATCTGCATGTTATTTATTTCTGCTGCATCTTTATTTTCAGAAAATGTCACTTTCAAATCCCTTACGTGGCATACTTGATGTCAACCATCTCACAGGTCCAAATTATACGGATTGGCTTCATAACTTGAGAATTGTTCTCACGTTGGAGAAAATCATATACGTCCTTAATACATTGATGCCTATACTCGAGGAAGGGGCAAGCGAGGATGAGATCGCTCGCTGTGTGAAGTACATTGATGACTCCACTCTTGCTCAGTGTTATATGTTGGACTCTATGACTCTTGAGTTACAGAGATAACATGAAAGAATGGAAGCCAGATCCATACTACTACATGTCCGCAAACTGTTTGAGGAACAGGGAAGGACTCAGTGATATGAGATATCCAAGAGCCTCTTTCGAACTAGGATGACTGAGGGGACACCGGTTCAGAACCATGTCATAAAAATGATTGAGTGGATAGAGAAACTTATACATCTAGAAATGGTCCTAGAGGATAACATGTGTGTGGACATTGTGCTTCAGTCCCTACCAGAATCATTTTCACAGTTCATAATGAATTTTAATATAAACAAGCTTGAGGTGACTCTCTTGGAGCTCCTCAATATCTTGAGGGAGGCATAGAGCACTATCAAGAAAGAGAAGCCAGTTCTCTACACTGGTGAGACCAGAAAGAATAGGAAAGAAGAAAAATCCCTTAAGAAGGACAAGGGCAGACTAGGTAACTTAAAGGTTGCTAAGAAAGACCCGGCAAAGGACAAAGGCCAGTGCTTCCACTGTTGCAAAGATGGGCATTGGAAGACGAACTGCAAAGAGTACCTTGCAGAGAGGGTGAAACAGAAGCTTGAAGAAGCTTCAGGTATATTCATTATCAGTCTCCATTTGTCAGACTCTTATGATAACACATGGGTATTGGATACTAGTAGTGCTTATCATATATGCAATTCGTTGCAGGTTCTAGCAAGGCCTAGGAGATTGGCGAGAGACAAAATGGACCTCAAGATGGGCAATGGAGCAAAAGTTGTTGTAGTAGCTATTAGCGAGGTTGCCTACATCTGCCTGGTGGAGTTATTATTGCATTAGATGCATGTTATTTTGTTCTTTCTATTATCACAAATATTATTTTCATTTCATGTTTTTGATAGTTAGTGGATATAAATTAGTTTTTAAG